TATGATACTAGTACAACAGGTAGCAACAAAAACACAAACGAGTTAAAATAGTGTTACGAACGAGTTAAAATGTTAAAAGACTGACAAGATCGGATCCTAGTCTTTTTCGGCGGGTAGAGTGTTGAATGAAACGGCACGCGATAGAAATGACAGCCTAGATGACAGAAGAATAGGTCACCTAATTTAGCCATATTCTTGCTACGTTCATTTCAATAGTTTTTCCTGCCTAGACTCTTAAACTCGTCCAGCAAGCTTATGGATTTTAATTATGGATGTTTTAAAAAAAAAGATAACTTGGCCAAAAAGTGTAGGCCCGGGCCTACAGTGCTACATACTGGCTACGCCCCCGACACCTTTGTTAGGCGCAGGTATGCAGATACGCAGTTGCGTACACATCATTTCAGCAACCTTCTGCATTCTGCATACATCCCAAATCCCATTGGTTGATACAAATCGCGTGCCTGAAACTCCTGTTTTATGGTGCATTGTGACCTTAGCCCTAAACCTAACCCTATTAAAAAACAATTAATTGTAAAAATTATTTGTTGTTATGAAATTGTTGTAAATAAATCATGTAAATATTTGCTTTAATTGGAAAAAAATAGTTAAATGGATAAAGATAGAAAAATACAGAAAACGGGTAAATAATAAAAAATCTGATGGGATTCGATCAAAGGACCGTAATCCTGTGCTATCCAGACATATTGGCTTTCCAGATTATGGATGTGCCATGAATATGAGAACACTGACAAAAAATTTTCCCCCAGCTGAGATTCGAACCCGGAATCTCGGGTTATGAAACCGAGCTCCTATACCGACTACGCTACGCGCAATAATTCCCACGTACGTGATGATTGAATTTTGACTTAATACATTTTTTTTTTTTACGTTTTTAAATTTTTGTCTCAGCCAGAACCACCTGCAAGATGTGGTGATTCTGAATATATCTTCAGTTACCGCGATTGAGTGAAATATCACGGAGAAAAGCGAGGTCAAACAAACAGACACACACAAGATTAGCCTCTTTATAGTAAGGATAGATAGATAGAAGATATTCTCTGCTACTACGTAAATCCATACTATATAATAAAGAGCTAATAATACATTATTATTAGGTCTTGATATAATATATATAGAAGATACGTGTTTACACAATATCCTTCTATTTGCTTTTCTTCCAAGGTTGAACAGCTAGGTCACACTTCATGGCTAGCTATAGCCCTGGACGTTTATTCCTTACGGAATGTCCATGCGTTATTATCCACGTAACCGTGGGCTACGCAGTGAACTATCCAGATCCAGATCCGGATCCAGAGATCCTCTTCATTTCCCCTGTCTCCTCTTCCTCACTCCATTGTCTTTAGCAGAGGGTATATAAGGAGGGTAAGTCGGCTGCAACGTCATTTCACATTTGTTCGGGCCTGCAGGCTGCATATAGCCATAGGTCCTTTCTCGACAGGTCTAATTTCCGCTCTTACCCTCACTGCTGCTAGCCGTGGCTAGTGCTGGCTACCTACCTTTACTGCTGCTAGCTTTGGCTACCTACCCTCACTGATGCTAGCTGTGACGACAAACTCTCACTGCTGCTATTGAAAAATTATACAAAATATATATGTACCGTATATTGAAAATTTATAAATAATCTACACATGTTACTGATTACTGATGATCTATATGATACTCAAGTTTCATAACCTACAATCCCCACTACCAATACCAGGAAATCACGTGCTTGTAGGTATACAGCATTGAAACAGAAGTTAATACTTCACAAATAATCAATCGAAGAACACGTACTGCATGCACGTATCACCGTTACATTATTATTACACACATTATCAAGAGTATATACATTTTCAAATTAATTTTCAAATATTTACAATGCATAAATACGAACAGGCACATTTCTTTAACCAAATCATACATATATGGTTTGCTTTCAATAAGTCATCTCTATGAAGTGAAACAAGGTTGACAATTAAGCCATCAAGGTCTACACCACATAATAAAGAAATTTAACTATTTTCCCAACACAAAAGGTGGTTATCATACTTACAGTCACCTTCATACCAGAACAATAACTGCTTAGTACCTTACAGTAGTGTATATGTTGGGTTAATTGTGATGAGAATGAAATTGAATTCACAAATGTCTCCACCTCCATTGCAACACAAGTAAATCGATCATCTGATGATATATCTACCAAAAGCATAAATGGGCTTATATGTCTAGACTTCCTGCTGTTGACCTTTTCCAATCGCTTGGATTTTCTGGTTTATTAGTGAAGTTTTCCCAGTTGCTATCCTCTGACTCAAGCAGCGATTCTGCAGTGTCAACCAAGTGTGAGAAGCCAAGGTGTGTGAAATTGGGCATCGTGAACTCTGTCATATCTTCTGTCTGCAAAGACAATCAAGTCATATTTGTAAAACCTGTACAATAGCAACGACAGCAACAACAACAGGTAGTATGTTTACATTACGTATTTAATTATAATTTAGTTCAATAAGTGACTAGAAGTACTGAGAACAGCAATCTGTAGTCTGTGGCAAGCATCCTATAGATAAACATTTTAACTGAAATACAGTAAAAACCCGCGTATAAGAACATGTTAGGCTAAAATTTCCCATTTAGACCCCTTTACATAAGAACCTGTTTTAGGCTAAGATTTTAAAGTAGGTTCTTAATTTTCCATGTTTTTTTTCCATTTTTTTCTCCTCCATTTTTTGGCATGTTGTTTTATTTCCTTGGATACATACTGTATCATACAGTATGTACGTACTCATGAATATCTTTAATAGTTACACTTAGCTAGCATTCGCCCATATACATGGCGAATGCGTACAGTATAGGTACACGAGTCACCTCACATAACTTACGAGGTGTGTGACGTTCAGTCGCTGTCTCAATACTATTCTGTATATGTCTATCGTGGTGTGACACTAGGGCTCTCTCTCTTCCTCGTCTCTGGCCGAGCACGCGGTTATATATCGCAATAGGTAGCCACGCCTCCCTATTGTCTCTCCACAGCCCTCTTACATGCCTGTCTATAATTGCCCTATTTCCCTCCTAACTATCCCGTTACGACTTTGCACAGCTGTTCCTATATGACCAGCCCGAACAATGACTGTCTCCTAGCTACTCTACATATTCGTCCTTCGACTGTATTACATATATATATATCAGGAGTAGATAATAGGGAAGGATTGTGACTTCAATAAACAAATAAATCTAGCCTTAGAATACCTACGATTTACTACGCGTAACTCAACCAACTTGAGGTCAAATCGTACACAGTACATTCGCCTAGCATCGTGCGAAATCGTTTCTCGTATACACAAGCAATCCGGAGATACAGACTAAAACGTACGACACGATTATCCATTATTTGGCCATCAATCCGAACTTCCCTGCCGAACTTGAAACAAAAGGCAGCTATTAACGCACTCTTGCTCACTCGGCAAGGCGGTGTGGCTCGCTGGAAGATTGGAGCTAGAGCTGCTGCTGATTGCGGTAGGCGTGCGTGCGTGGGGGGCATACCAGCTGTATGCCGGTATGTAGCTGTGTGCCGGGTCAAAGGTTATCTCGCCGAGTGTTGCGTCAATGTCCAATCTCCCAGCGAGCCACACCGCCTCGCCGAGTGAGCAAGTGCGTTAGTAGCTGCCTTTTGTTTCGAGTTCGGCGGGGAATACGTTCGGATTGGTAATAAAAATAATACATACTAGAGGTAGGTAAAGGGGAAAAAGCCCTGCTGTTCCCCAGCTGGGACTCGAACCCGGAATCACGGTGTAGGAGCCGGATGTTCTAGCGATTAGGCCACTGCGTCGTTAAGGCTATACCCCATGGATTCACACGTACGTGATGTTAATCTGTACGCACTGCCATCTATTGATGAATAGAATTTTTATGAATTTTTAACTTTTTAACTTAACTTTTCATGTAAGTGACACAGTTAAAGTTAAATATTTCATGCAACTGAAAAGAAAACAGAAACAAAAAAACATTTTGGGAAGAAATAAAGAGCGCAATTCTATAAGTGAGCAGGGGAAAAAGTACTTAGTTGGTGACCACTTGGTTGAAAGTAAAATACCACAAAATCTATCTCTCTATCTATGTATCTATCCATGAATCCATCCATGCATCCATCCAGATGAGACGGGATACTAGAGAAGCGTTGCCGAAAGGAGGTGTTAATCCAAAGTGCTGCGCGCAGTTCCGCGGCAAGGCGCACGCGACCGCGGGAACGTCCTACGACAGTATGCAGCGCTGGCAGCTATGGATCCGTGCGCCGAATGAATTTATTGTTATAATTAATTACACATCAACGCTACGAAATTTGAACGGCGCCATGACACCCGCGACCGTGCTGCCACCCCGAAAAAGTTGCGTAGTTGACAATTTATTTTGCACGTTACAGACCGAGGGCTAATCACAAAAGTGCAATTATATTTATACCTAAATGCTATTTAACCGAACGATATTCATTTTAGGGCAAATTTATCCATATTATAACTAAAACTATATGTCGTTTATAAAATATTACAATCCTTTTGCTTTTAAATGAATAAATAAGAAACACCCTCGGTCTGTAGCCCTTGGCTGGAAATTGGTTTTGCGCAACTTATCAGATCGTGCACATTGAGTGGCGCCACCGTCGTTGTAATGAAACTGTAGTCGTTAGTTTTAAAACGTTTTTCTTAAATATTTCTAATGGTGATTGAACCATGAAACTTTTTATGTAGCGTAATTATAACCTAAATTAGCTGAAAATAACCCTAGAACCTAGAGTAAACTCTCCCTTTAAATGTGGTAAAAAAAAAAAATTGAAATTAACGGTGAATACGGCAGAAGTACATACTAAACAGTCCAAAAGTAAAGAAACAAAGCATTTCCCGAGGTGGCATTCAAACACAGAATCAATGGTTTAGGAGTCCGATGCTTTATCCATTCGGCTACTGGGCCGTTATGGTTATACACCATGGATTCACACGTACGTGACGGGTAATGCTATCCCCCGGGCGTGGAAGGACACCGCAACGTGGCAGCACTAGTATTAGGATTAATATTATTAGTATTAGTATTAGTATTAGGTTAGGGTTAGGATTAGGGTTAGGGTTAGGGTTAGGGTTAGGGTTAGGGTTAGAGTTTTTGCATCATGATATCTGTCCCCACACCATAGATTAATTTTTGTGGATCACACCCCCTATATAAAGCGCTCCGATATATATATATTTAGTGTTAGCGTTGGAGTTGTTGGAGTTACGGTTACCGGATGAGTAATAATTTTGATTTTTTGTTTTAGCCAGAACCACCTCCCAGACGTGCTGATTCTGAAAATATATTTAGTTTTCCTCTAGGCTGCGGAGTTCTCTAGTTATGCGCGAACACACAAATTCGGCTGAACAACTTTATATATATAGACATATATTAATAACAGCAGTATAGTTTGTATGGCATGTAGAAGTGTGATTGCGTATATACCCTAGTATCCAGGATAACTTGACCTATTGGGACCTCTGGACTGTAGATGTGAAATTCCATCCTCTTCAGTTCAAAGCCGATTCCTATACCAACAGCTTTTATGTAGCTCTCCTTTAGGCACTGTATGAAAAAGGGTAGCAATTATAGAAACAAATGTGACTTATTAAATCTGCTACATCCCTGTTTTCAAGCATTCTCTCTGACCTTTTCAGGTGCATTGTGATCCCTGTCCAATAATTCTGTATTTTATCAGCAGAGAAAATCCATACTCAATCAAAATCAATATCTTATTTGAATTTTTAGGATGGAAATCATCATACCCATAATCGGTAAAATGCACACAACTGTTCCTGCTCATCAGGATTCTTCAAGATTGTCACCCACTCGTGATCAGTGTACTGCCGTCGCATTAGCCTGAAGAAATCCTTTAGACCCTTGATTCCATCTATTTAACACAACAGTCGAATAATTTTTGATTATTATGCAGTATTATTATTAGGCTTCTCTGCTTAGCATTCAGCAAATAGAGATAGAGTGTGGCGAGTTAACTCGCAGTGCTACCAGTGGACTAACCCCCTACTGTAGCATTTACGGTGAAAGCAGCTCAGGGTTACGGAAACGGAGATAGGCACCGCCCTATGCGCCTATGTACCACATGGCGCGGGAAGGATTTAACTTCTTTTTTTATGCAGTGTCCATACAAAACGAGATAAAAAATGCTAAAAAACTAACGCGACATAGACCATGAATAGGATAACGAGCTTACTTGGTCTTTCTGCCTTCATGACATCAATGCCAACTGTTGACGGCCCCATTTCTGATGCCAGCACAGTATAGTCACCCTGGTGAGCAATGTTGAAACTAATGCGATGGTCCTCGGTATCCTCCAGAATTGGTTTCCCCTTTTCGGTTCTCACCAGTTTCACTTTTTGCCATGGAATATCAAGCTTCTCAGCAATGACTTTGCGCAGCAGCAATCGTCCAACCTGCATGGAGGTTTGTGTGTGGTTAAATAAACACCTAATTGAATCCCGATGTGGAGAACTTTAAAGATGCTATTATAGAATTTTATAATTTTGAATATATGCCAGGTATAGTTGTAGATTGAACATGTGAATTATACTATTTATTAAATTAAATGGGCATAATACTAACGATGTAAAATTCATGCACAATGATCACAATTCATAGGTGGGTTATTTCATGTAGTGATAATTCTCAAACCAGAATCAATAATTTATCAAAGCCACTAATGAAGAATCTACTTTACACTCAGAGCACACATGGTAATTAACTGATTTGCCATGTCTGTATAATTACTAAAGTATTGCAAAATTCACATTTTCTGAGCACCTAGTCTATCATGAATTAATGTAGGATACTAACTAGTGCGGCTTTGGCATCTTTACGGAAAACAAATTTGTGTATTCTTTGGTTCTCTTCCAGTTGAACAGACTGTGCAGCTAGTAGCCATTCTTCCCTCAACGGCTTCCATTTTCCAAAGTTAAATGCCCATCGGATACTTCCCATTGTCAGCCTAACCATGACAATGTGGCTGATAACACCATCTGCAATTTTAAATTCACATAGTGTAGCATATCTGTAACATAGTGAAGTCTTAATAGTTTCAGCTTGAACAAACTGTATCCATTTAAAAAAATGATTTAAATTAAATTGATTTCTGCCATTTTAAATGTATATAGTGCAACATATCTCTAACATAGTCAACTCTTTATAGCTTCAGCTTGAACACAACTGTACCCTTTTAAAAAATTCGACTTAAATTATATAAATACCATGCCTGATATGTATAACATAAACCCTACCTCAATATATGTACTAAGTGCTTTACAAAAAAACGCAACCCTGGTTAATAGCTAGGGCTAGCTACAACCCAGTCAATCTTGTATTTCACTGTAGTATAGCACCCTAAGAATTTCACATCTGTAAAGGGAATAATATTTACGATGTAGTCTTGGGGTTTCTCTGGTAATTGCCTTTAACAAGCATAAATATATTAAACCAATCTGCTACTTCAATTTTGACTGCATTATGTTACCAGGAGTGAATAATAATAGATTATTATTAGTAGTATATTTACAATCTATTATTATTCACTCCTGATGTTACTATAGAGCAGTGGTTGTGGAGAGGTTAGCGTGCCCAACTTTCGTATCGAGTGATGCAGTCAGTGCAGTGGCTATTTACAAGGCAGAACAAACCTGGCTTTCAACATTACGAAACATGAGTGTATCTCTCATGGCCTGGAGGACTATATAAACTTGAAATCCCTTCTCTGCTAATGAGGGAAACACATGAAAATACATCGAGGACATAAAACCCTTGGCAGTGAGCCAATGACCTTTCTCAGAATTAGCAGAGGCTGCCTTGATGTAACATTCTATGGCTAACTATAGAAAATAAAAATGTCACAAAGAATGTGGGAAGGGATGAGTATTAGCTTATAGATTCTGATCAGAAGCTGATACTAGAAGAAATTACCAGAATCACTAATTTGTATTTACTCTAAAAAATTTAAATGGAGACAGTCTATAGAGACTTCAGTTACGCAGATAAGGTCTATGTCCCCCTGACCTCTGTTTGACCTGGCTCGTTTAGCTATTTCTGACTAATATATATATATATATATATAAATATATAAGGTTAGGGTTAGGGTTAGTCAGAAATAGCTAAACGAGCCAGGTCAAACAGAGGTCAAGGGGACATATAGATCCTACGAGCTTCAGTAATGGTTATTAGGTTTCTGGTAATAGTGTTGGGTACACCCTCTGAATCATCCACTGCCATGATATAAACAGTCTCATCACCAATTACCTAGATTAAACCAGCTTGATCCCCAAGCAACAAAATTTTACATACCGGTAGAACCAATCACATGTACTCGTGTACATCCCAAAAAAATACATTTAAATTTAAATACATTTTAATATTTATATTCTTTTTAACTTTAAATAAGCCATTACATTTTACACTGAAAATAAATGTACCAATTCTACACGTCTGTTGGTTAACGACCCTAGGCCAATATCACCAGGCCGATATTGGTCTAATATAGGCAAGGCAATACAGGCAAGCCAAGTAGCCAACATAACTCCAATATGAACAATTAACTTAGCGGCACACCAATATCGGTAAGCTAGCATAGGCGGGTCCATTATGGGTCCATGATAAACATTCTCACACCAGGTTCTGAGCACTTTAGCAGGCATTTTACATCATCTTTACAGGTAATCTACGTTTAGATGAGCTATGTACAGCACTACTCTGATAAAAATAATTTTTGTACCAAGAATACAAATCTAGAAATTGCTAATCATTGTTCAATCATTTTGCCATTATAGTATGAGTCATTTATTTGCATAATTCCAACTAAGATGTTTTATTTGTTGTGCCATAATTTGTTAATTAAAAGATTAACGAGCTTGATTTGTATTTTTGAGCTGATATTATGGTAAAGTTATCTAAAAGATGGGTGTCAGGTGTTTGGACAAGGGCGGAATTTCAATGCTTGCCATAGGCGCTATTTTCCATAGGTATGCCTCTGAGTGTATCATTACACTGTTACAGGTGCTGTCACACGGACTTTTACTAGAAAGTTTTTTTACTACTATTAATGCAAAATTCTCTGAATTACTTACTCCAAATCAAATCAACCTGTAACATTCACATGACTTCTGTATAATAAACATATATATACTTATCAGACTACTGATATATAATTAGATATCATTATTAAAGGAATAAATTCGAGCCATCGATTATGGCCCGAGTTGACGAATGCTAGCAGGTAAAGCGTGGACCTTGTGTAGTTAGTTAAGCTACAGTTACCCGTTATAGCCAGAACGCGTGATTAGTTTGGTCGCCAGAATGATGCACTGCTATTACTAAGAAATGTCTAAATTGAAATCGCGTAAATTTGGTAAATGGCTGGCGACTAACTGCTAATAAGTTTGATGCCCAACTAAAATGAAACATCGAGGTGTCGGCCTTCGGGTGACGTCAAATGTTCTGAAGCAGGATGGTTGAGCATCGGAGATGTGTTTGCCGGTAAATTGGCTCGCGTAGATTTATTGTCCTATTGCTCTACATATTATGTTGCTTGTAATCTCAGAGCTTCGGATTAGGTTCATTATTCACCGGAATCCCAAGAGGGAAAACCATTCACGTACGGAATCGCACTCAGACTACAAGATGCAATCACTGACGGCCGCAGGGCATCTGACGCTGCGAAAAGTGTCCGGTGCAGCTATTAGATCGTGTATGACACCGCCCGCGCCTCGCCGGTTGCGCCGGGGTTACGCGCTGGCATAGCGGGGGTCAAACTGTCGAGCAACCGGATAGATGGCACTCGCCCGCGGGCCGGGACGCATGGTTATTTGTTACTCCGGTAGTGGATTTCGAATTTGACTATTTGACTTAGTAACGCGCAGTGATGATTGGAGCAAACGGTAAGTATCGTTTGGGAGCTATAAGGTAACTGTCCTTGAGTTAACTACTCAAAGGTGGGCCAGTTACTGTACAGCATTCGGTTAAGAAAGTTGGCCAAGTAATCAATGGTCGAATTATGCCTTAAAAGGAAGTAATAGGTCCAATCGGAGTGTATGCAAGTCGCTTGATGAATGCCTGAGAGTAGCTGCACCTTAGTGTAGTTAAGTAAGTACCATGTACCATTATAGCCAAATGCGTATTTCAGGCGTTCCTCGTTACTGTATCTGAAACGCCGAGGTAATTGTGACAGTGAAATAGCAGGTAAACTGTTTTTCGCGGCAAGACGGTAGGAACGGAACCGCGAGCCGGACGAAGGCGCGAGCACCTGCTAGGGGGGTCGCGGGGAAATAAGAGTGTGTCTGATTCTGACCCCAACAGAAGTAGCCGTTATTTTTTGAGTGGGTATGCGGTTTCGTAGAATTGGATAGTGATATAGATAGAGGCTATAGTGGCATTGTTTCTATATTAGAAAGAACAACCCCGCGCCGTGCAGCATAGGTAAGAGGGTTAGTCCTTGGGGTTGGAAGTGATTAGAAACGTAGAACTTGCGCGTTTGTTTTCAAATATGAGTTAAATATTTTACCTGCCTGTAGTGGGAGTTTCTCTCAAATTGATAGCCGTAAGCGAAAGTTGCCGGCGAGTAGGCCGCGTAAGAATAACCGGTTACCGGCTATTAACGGAAGACCGCTGGTATTAGTTTTGTCCAAGGTATCACGTGCTGGGTGGTACATGTAACAAAACGAAGACTTGAAATCGCGGTGTGTGTGATATGTATGCGAGACGTATCATTTACGTGCCGTGAGTCATGCCAGGAGTCAGCGATGACGTAAACATGTGTGGCGGCCCGGTATGTTTTAGGATGCCGAGATAGAAATGAAGGTGTCAGCGGTGTCAGCCCCACGGCCGACTGACTAAACCTGGGATTAGAGTGAACAAACGGCCCAACCCACGCTCTTAGAACGGCACGCCAGTGGAAGCCCTGACAAAAAAAGGTTGCCTTATGCACGAGCGAGTCCATGTTTACGAAATCACTGATGATAGCATTGCGTACGGCCGAGCATGCGTGCGAAAATGTCCGGTGCACTATAAATCTGTATCACACCCGCGTCGCCGGCAGCGGTTTGAAACTGTAAACAACAGATTTTTGGACTGAGGATTTCAATTAGACATTTCTTAGTAACCAGCAGTGATATTGAACAAACTAATACGCGTTTGGCTATAAGGTAATGTACTCATTAAGGTGCCAGTTACTCTAGCATTCGTCAACATTGCATAATCAATTGACCTATTATTCCATGATTGTAGTATTGCATGACCTTTGTTGTAATATCTACATCAACTACATTTATAAGAATTCCCATTCTTTGGGCATCTTGCGCCTCAACCTTGCGTTTGCCGACACTATAGTAAACCTTGGTATCTGCTGATACATAAGTCTGTACAGTTTCCTATCTGGGCAATAGCGAAAAAGGAACTTTTTACTAACCATATGTGGTCAACCCTGCATGACTTCTCATCTTGAAAATAATAAACAGTGATGGCTTTTCCTACCATGATGCTATACACCGACTATCACGAGCCTAGGTCGAGCCGTTTAGATTTGTGCTGCAATACCTTAAGTAAAGGAGGGAATGTTCCCCCTTCTTTTACACCTCTTGACCTTTGACCTTTGACCCCTCAGCTTCGACATTCCAACTCGTTTTCGGATTACCCCCCCACGTCCCGAATATCGTGACCGTACGTCGAGCAGTAAGATTTGTGCCCAACTGTTGACGGACGGACGGACGGACGGACGGACGGACAGACGGACGGACGGACGGACAGACAGACAATCATGCGATTCTACAAGCTGCACCTGACTACGTCAGATGAGCTAAAAACCCACAATAATATTTCCATTAGGATGTGAGGTTAAAACTGGAGGTCCAATTAATGCACACTGATTTTTGAGCAGGAGAAATAACACTGCATGATTAATCCAGTGCTCCAGATAATTTTGGGATCGGATGAGTATTTACTCATCAATTTTCAAGTGTATGCATGAGAACCGGTTAGTTTGCCATGAGTATTCGCCAAATACAGTACTCATCATTTTTTTCTACCAATGAGTATTTTGCTTTCTACGTTGTCCAACTCTGCTTGCACTGTGTGTGTGTGTGTGTGTGTGTGTGTGTGTGTGTGTGTGTGTGCGTGCGCGTGCGTGTGCGTGTGCGTGCGCGTGCGTGTGCGTGCGCACAGGCGTGTGCATATGTACGTGTGTTGTACTTTTTGGTTAAAAATGACTGACATAGTTAAAGCACTATAACGTTACGCATACGTTGAAAAATACTACAGCAATTGTACTCTAATTAAGTTTGTATATATATTCATACATACTGGGGCAAATACTAGCATATACGTACTCTATGTTTTGTGCATGTATGCGTAAATGAGTGTTTTCAATGCGTATTTTACGCAAATACGCATGCAATCTGGAGCACTGTAATCCACTAGATGTTATAGATACACATCAATGGATCAATAACATATCACACACTTATAAAATAACCAACCACACATAACACAAAAAAGTATTTCCATCTCTCTTGTGACGACGTGTTGTGCCACTACCACGTTTCATACGATTTTTTAACCAAAATATCGAACAGAAAATCTAGCACACCCTTGTGAATGACGCATGCCATTGGATTATTGGATCAGAATTATATCAGTCAGCGGACTAGTATCCCCATTTAGTGATTTACCATACGATATTACGATCAGCTACATTACGCTATCTGCTGTATGCTGATAAAACAAGTTATATGTGCAAGTAATGAAAGTAGTACCTCAGCAGTACAGCTTTTCAGTTGTCCTAGATGAGTAGATCTTTCTAGTCACACTGAAAGTAAAACCACTCTCATATTACTCCACAGAAAGAAAGGGTTTCTAGGCGTATATAACGTCTAACACCATTGCTCATAGCATGCAAGGTGGCAGTAACAGTAATATTGTAATCTCTGCATAACTCTTCACAGTCCAAATCACTAAACAGAAGGCGGAGTTTGAAGTCGATCAGAACTGTAGATCATTGCTGTAAATAGGAGCTGAGAAGGTTTCAATGTCACAATTTACAATAAACAATATGGGAGCTAGTTCCAGTATTTTGGCAGTATTAGTATGGAATTACCAGAAATAAAATAAAATTATATGGAACCTTCGTCTTCGAGGATGAAACATTATGTCATTTATGATTCACGTGGCCGTAATAAATATTTTAGAACTTAATTATAAACGCTTGAGTTTGAAAACATGGAGAGGGGCCAATCGTGATGGAGAATATAGAGAATGGAGATTATAGTCTATCCGGTGTTTCATACATAAGATTTAAGGAACTTATATCAGATATTTGCTCTAATAATTCTCTAGTAGGTCTTTGAATTAGCTATATATCATATTTTGACAAAATAGTTGCTCGTTAATTGTGTAAGATGAATGTAAAGAAATGTTTAAGCAATTCGAAATCGATGAATCTCACTGTCTTATGTATACAATATTTATATATTAATGCCTGTTGTTGGGGGCACTATGGCTCAAGGGGTCGTTGTCATAACAGGTACTACAGATATGTACCCGAGGTACATATATGTATACACAGTGTACCAGACTTGTACTACAGAAGTGTACCCTAACCCTAACACTAACCCTAACTCTAACCCTAACCCTAACCCTAAACATACCTCATATAAAAATATAAACATAATACTAAACTACCTAAAACTACCTCGGGTACATATCTGTAGTACCTGTTACGACAACGACCCTTCGTGCGGCACTATGAGAGCATAGTGCCCCCAACAACAGGCATTAATGTTTTTAGTGCATCACATAACTTTGCAATCTACTCGGCAAATATGAAGTGAATAAAAAAATCTCGAGCGCTCCATGTTGTTGTCGTCTGACTGATAACAACGCTGTCGATGACTCAGGAAAACTGCTACAGGTAGGGGAAATTGAATTCGAATTTTGAAATTGAATTCGAACAATGCAAATAACAATGCATAAATGCAATAACATGAATAACAATGCGTCGTGCAAGCAATAGTGCCCGCTCAGGCGGACACTATTGTTTCATAGTATCTGCGACGTTATCCAATAAAATTTCAACGATTTATCACGTGATGCACTAATGTATTGTATTGTAAAGTAATGTAACGTTACGTAATGTTTTGTAATGTAATCTATCGCATGGTTTTACAATGTATTGTAACATAATATATCGTCATGTATTGTAGGTAGTATTATGTCGGGTATTGTAATGGTTTGTATGTGTTGGAATCATCTGATCACGTCATGTATTGTAAATATCATATATCATATATATAAAGTTGTCTAATCGTAATGTGTTATATTGTATTATAATGTCTTGTCATGTCATGTATTGTAATATAATATAAAGTCGTGTATTGTACGTAGTATAACGTCGTGTAATGTAATGGATTGTACGTGTGTGCTGTAATCATCAGATCACGTCATGTATTGTAAACCAGTGCTCGAAATAAGAAAAAATATGTGGTTGTCCCAAAAAATATCCCCAAATCTCCTATTTTCAATCACATAATAATATGGTCAGAAAACACCCAAAAACAGTGGCGTAGCCACGATTTTTTAACAAGCAACAACAACAAGGCCAAAAACAGCAAACTGCGCAAAATAGTGGATGACTTAATATTTTACTGGCTCTTCCGCCTCCCTCTCCACACCCTACGGCTCCTCTACCTCTCATCTCTGCAATCTTTGTTTTGGGTGCCATGCGAAAAGGCGACATTTTTGTTCATTGTTCTCTGC